ACATATATGCAAAACTAGTTAACAAAACTTTAGCAATTAGATATATTATGTAGAAAGGATAATGCATCTGAAAGAAAGTGAGCTGAAATGCCAGGTACCAATCAAGCTTTATTAAAGGAAAAGAATCTGCTGGGCTGTGCTCAGAATGGAGGACAGCACCAGGTGTGGGGGTGAGAGAGCTTATATATAGTGCCAAGGGCTGGCTGATACAATCAAGGAGGGGCATTATGCCAGTGTGGAAGCTATGTGACCAGGGTGGAGAATTACACCTTTGTGGAAGCAAAAAGGGTTTCTCTTTCTCAGAAATCACGAGGTTTCTTACAAAGGGAGGGGCTGGCGACTATTTTGTGCTTATTGTGTGCAAAATGGCACTGGTCACGTCCAAGATCCATCAACATCATGACCAAGTGGGGTTGGATTAACATTGGAAAATCAGGTAATGTGATGCACTGCATTAAGACTATAAAAGAAAAAAACAAAAACAAAAACATGATGTTCTCAGTGGGTACATGATACAATCTTCTATATAAAGAAACTTATAAAAGCTTTAAAAACTACTAAAACAAACAAATGAATTTAGCAAGATTTCAGTATATAAGATCAGTATACAAACTTAAGTTTGCAATGAATAATTTGAAATTGAAAAATATGATTTAAAATAGAATTGAAACATGAAATAGGGATAAATATGACAAAATGTACAAGATCCATACACTGAAAAGCACAAAACATTGCTGAAGGAGAAAGCAAAAAAACACAAATAGAAAAATACAGTTTATGGATCAAAAAATTCAGTATTGCTAAAATGTCAGTTCTCGCCTAAATTAATCTATAGATTCAATGCAAGCCTAATCAAAATTACAGAAGAAACTAATTTAAAAATTGACAAACTAATCCTAATTTACATGTGAATGCAAAGCCTAGAACAGACAAAGCAAATCTGAAAAAGAAAAAGTTGGAAAACTTGTACTACCTGATTCCAAGATTTATTATAAAGCTACATTAATCAACATTTAGGATATTGGTGCCAAGATAGGCAAATAGATCAATGGGACAGGAAAGAGTCTAAAAATAGACCCACACATATATGATCACTTGAGATATGATAAAGATGCAAAGCCAATTCAGTGAAGAAAGAAGTCTTTGAACAAATGGTGCTAGAACAATTGGATCTATACATACAAAGAGATGAATTTTGATCTACACTTTTCACTATTTGCAAAAATTAACTCAAAGTGAATCACAGACTTAATGTAAAGCCCAAATTATAAAACTCCTAGAAGAAAACTAAGAAATTCTTTTTGGTCTTGGATTAGAAAATATTCTTAGATAAAACATCAAAAGTCCAATCCATTAAAAAAACAAACAAAAAACAAATGCCAAGTTGAAAGTCATCAAAATTAAGAACTTCTGCTCTTTGAAAGACACTAAGAGAATGAAAAGACAAGCTACATACTAAAAGGGATATTTGCAAATTGTATCAAAAGTGTGTGTATATACATATACATACATACATACATACATATACTATATATATATATATATATATATATATATGTGTATTAATTTTATGTAGACAAATTGTTGATCAACTTGGTATTACTTCTTTGCAGGCTATCATCACCACACTCAATATTATAAGGTTTTTAAAATTATTTTCTTCTAATTAATGAATATATATATATATATATATATACCCTTCAAAACTCAATAACAATAAAATAAGCAACCCAATTAAAAAGCAAACAAAAAGGTTTGAAGAGACACTTCACCAAAGAAAATATGCAGATGGCAAAAAGCACATGAAAAGGTGCTCAACATCCCAAGGCAGTAAATAAATGCAAATTAAAGTGACAGTGAGAAACTCCACTACACATCTATTGAAATGCCTAAAATTAAAGACAAATCAAACTAAGTCATAGAAAGGATGTAGAGCTACTGAAGTCTCAGACACTGATGAGACAGATGTAAAATGGTACAATCACTTTAGAAAATAGTTTGGCAGTTTTAAAAATAACCATACATCTGTCATAAAGCCAGATACTTCACTCTTAGGTATTTACTCAAGAAATGAAAGTATGTGTTTATTGAAAGACGTTTACAAAAAAATATTCACAAGTTACATTTTTAACAGCCAAAAACTGGAAATAAACCCACATTTATAAAACAGGTGGATGGATAAATTGTAGTATATCCCTACAATGGACTCCTATATGGCAATAAAAAAGGAATTAACTCTTGACAGAAGCAACTTACTTGGTGAATTAGAGACCAGACAATACTATATAATTCCATACATATATAACTCTAGGAAATGCAAACTATAGTGACAAAAAGCAGAACAGTGTTTGCTAGTTTGCTAGAGGGTAGCAGTGGGGTGGGGAGGGAAAAAAGAGAGGGATTACAAAGGGGCGGGGGAAACTTTTGAGAATAGTGGGTATTTTTACTGTCTTGATGGTGATGATGCTTTTGCAAGTCAAAACTTATCAAAATATACAGTTTAAATGGGTGAAATTTATCGTATGTCAATTATATCATAATAAAGATGTTTAAAAAATGTTCCCAACAACAGAAATCTTTCCTTTTAAGTTAGAATCAAATTTAAATTCCAGCTCTAACAAGTACTCACTTATTGGGAAATATTAGGATGACAATACACTTGCCTAGAACTCTGGTGACAATAATACTCTTCTATGAATTTTAAGCTATGAGGTGGAATAAACGCAGTTCCAGAAAAAAAGCTGAGATCCTGAGTTCTCTATAATGAGAATGAGGAGTTGTGTAGGGTCTGAACACTTCTTTTAGTATCCTTTGTAAGAGACCACTATGTCTCCAACAAAATCTGAGTTTTCCTTCTTTTGAAACTTCATTGTACATGACTTCATACAGCTAGACATTTAAAAAAATCTTCTTTTACGTCTCTGCCACTACCTTCTCCTTGGGGAGAGGAGTCCTGGTAAAAATGAATACATGTACCTTGAATCCTCCTTTGTACCCTGGGCCCACAGGCATTTACACTAGGGATAGAAAGTTCATTGCAGGCTCTAGTCCAGAGTTGTTCAATAGGAATATTACACTAGGGACAGAAGTTTCAATACAGGCTCTAGTCCAGAGTTTTTCAATAGAAATACAACGTGACTCATATATGTGTTAGTTTTCTGTTGTTTATAACAAAATAGCTGAAACGGGGTAATTTATAAATAAATAAAATTTATTTTAGTTTTGGCAACTGGGAAGTGCATGATCCAGGGAACACATCTGGAGAGGACCTTCTTGGTGGTGATCAGGGTATGAATCATGAATCATGAATATGGTATATGAATATGAATCATGAACATGAATCATTAATCACATGGCAAGAATGGCAAGAGCTTTTTCATTTTCTCTCCATATAAAGCCACCTCTCAGTACCCATAACCCACTAAACCATTAACCCATTAATCCAGGAAAGGATCAATCTATTCATGAAGACAGAATCCTGACAATCCAATCAAAGGCCCCCTTTCAAATAACATAGTTGAATTTCCCACCCTCTTAACACTGTTAAAATGGGCATCAAGTTTCCACTACATGAACTTTTGGGGAAACACAGCACATCTGTGTAACTAAAATTTTCCTTGTATCTACATTAAAAAAATAAAATGAAACAGGTGAGATGAATAATAGTTTATTTAATCCAATATATTCAAAATAGTATCATTGCAATATATGTTATTAGTGCAGTATTTTATGTTATTTTTTGCAACAAGTTTTCAAAATCCAATGTGTATTTTATACTTACAGCACATGTCAATTCAGGCTAGCCACATGTGAAGTGCTCAGCAGTCCCCTGGTGGCTCTTGCCAGCTCTGGTCTCCTTGATATTCATTTCTACCCTCACATCTACCTCATAACTTCTTTTACATGGCTCAAAAAGCATATAGTGCCTCTCTACCAAAGTCATAGCAGCTCATTCACCAGCTGTTTGTGTTTTAGCATAAAGGAGGTATATCACAGATAAATGGAGCCTGGGTCCCTGAGGACTTTGTGGAGAACTAGTACTATACTGCCAACCTCTGGATTTAGTGGAGGGGGGAAATGGACTTCCATTTCTTTTAAGACACTGTTTTTTGGTCTCCATAATTCACAACTAAATATAATCATAACTGATACCGTGTTGAATAAATGTTGTCTGCTGCATTTGTCAAAATAAAAAGAGATATGGAGAAGGTGGAAGAAATCATTCTCCTCCTTAAAGTGCTTTATACAGTAATCCCCCCTTATCTGTGGGTTTCACTTTCTAAGGTTTCAGTTACCTGCAGTCAACTGCGGTCCAAAATTACAGTATTTTATGCGAGAGAGAAAGAGACCTACCACATTCACATAACTTTTATTATAGTATATTGTTATAATTGTTCTATTATTTTTTGTTAATCTCTTATTGTGCCTTATGTATAAATTAAACTTTATCATATGTATGTATAGGAAAAAACAGTATATATAGGGTTCATCACTATCTGTGGTTTCAGGCATCCACTGGGGGTCTTGGAATCTATCACCCACAGATAAGGGAGGACTACTGTATTAATCATATTTTCTCTTTGCATTTTCCTCCCATTCTGAGAGAAAAATCTGTATTGGATTAATCATTTTCCTCTTTCCCCTTTTTTTACTTTAATTCGTTTGGAAAATATATATTCTTTTTTATTTTTCTATTGCTACCCTTAAATTTTTAAGATGAAGGTTGAAGGTGGTAGTGATGGCTACAGTAAAGACTGAAGTTACAATCTCTTCTCCCAATCTGAATTTAAAGTCACCAGAAATTAACATTACAATGGTTTGTTTTTAGCACTCAATCTTATATATACTTACATAAAAGTACAGCAATTTCTTTGCTCATTATAGCATTTTATAAAACCTGACAAAGACATTACAAGAATATAAAATTACAGGTCAATTTCTTTCATAAAGACAGATGAAAACAAAATCTAAATAATGTATTATCAAAAACAAATCCAGTATTGCCTATAATAATAATGGTTTATTTCAGAAATTTGTGGTAGATTTAGTAATTGAAATAAATCAATGCACGTGGCCACAGTAACAGAATAAAAATGACACATGATCATCCCAATAATTACAGAATATCTGTTGAATTCCTTTTTTTTCATTCAGTGCAACAACTCATACCAAATTATTAAAAGAGAATCCCTTAAATCTCATCTTGTGAATCAACTAAAACATCCCCATCGAATACCATGTCTAATGGTAAAATGTTGAACGCTCCTTCTATGCACCTCAAGATCTGTAATTATTCAAGGATGTTCACTATCACCATGGGGTGCATCCTAGTAGTGAGTAAATGTTTAAAAGGACAGGAATAAAAACACAGAATACAGAAAATCAGAAAAGAGTATCATGTGTGAACAGCCTCAGGGTGGAGGGTGCTGTTCAGAAATGGGCAGGGACAGCAGAATGTTCAAGGGCTCGGGCGACGCAGGGTCATTGGAACTACACAGTTGCAAGTATTAAAATATGGACAAAGGGACGTGGGAAAGTAATATTTAGAAAAAGTGTAGATGGGGAAGCCATGGTTTGTGACATTGTAAAAGGAGACGGTGCCAGCCTCATAGTCTATGAAAACCCCGACACGGCGAGGGGGCACTGTCATAGAGAGGAGCAGGGAGGTGGAGCAGTCCTCATAGGCTCTGTACTCATGTTTGTGCTGTAACCCAATCACCCAGTATCCACTCTGAGGCTGATATCTGGAGGAAACATAGTGACTGTTGGCATGCTGGCTGAATGAAAATGGAGGTCCCACTGAATTGCTGCATACACCCAGGATCCAGGCAGTCTTCTTGGCCACGTCAACCTCCCAGTAATGTTTTCCTGAGGAGAAGTGCTGGGAGCCCAGAACACTACAGTCATAATGCTCTTCCAGACAGGAAGGACCAGACAGCCCAGCACCCACAAATCTCACCTGTCTCCGGTTTTTAGACAGGACAAGATTTAAATTAGCTGTGTGTGGATTCAGAGTCACGTCCACTGTAGGAAAAGGGACAACATCAGCAGATGAGAATGGGAGCAAGGGTCTTGTGACACAGAGAAGAGCAAACACAGGAAGGGGTTGGGAGGAACTGGAGCTAAGTGGTGGGGGACTAGGGGGAGGTACAACACCTCAGACCATGTGGAGGGGGGCATGTTTGGGGAGGAGCCTGTTAAAGGGGATCAGAACATGTCAGCGTAAGATGACCATGGTTTCTACTTACCCCAGTAGCTCTGTACATCTGTCAGCTCTGTAATAACAAAGAGTCAATTATGTTGAATGGAACCAGTGGTCTCGTGTCTGATACATCTCCCCTTACCAGACTGAGGGGAATGGTGGGGAATTGGGTGAGGATGTGAACTGGTCATTTCACCTCCCCTTAAATACGAATTGCATCTTCTACAGCATACAATGTCCCTCCCTCTGTGACTTCCCTCTTCACCTCTATTCTCAAATACCAACTACACCCTCTATCCTATTATTTCTTACCATGATGGTATTTTCACATCCAACTCTTTCCCTTGAATCTCCTCACCTCTGAATACTCGCAGCATCTTTTTCAGATCTGGGGCACGAAACCTACTTTTCAGCTTGGTGGGGAGAGATTCTGGTTTCTTCAGGGTCCAGAACTCACTCCTAGAGAGGACAGACCTTATGAGCCCCACACTGCTGACTGGGCTTCCTCCATCCCCTCAGTACCCCTAACGCCCCAGGCCCATCAAGGAACTTCTACAATCTTTCCTGAAGAAACTTAGCATCGTTCTGCAGAGAGCTTTAGCACTGGAGCTAGAAACCTGGACTAGAAACTAGCTTATCATCTGTGTAAACTTTAAGATTCAGCTTCTGATAGCCTCAGTTTGTTTTTTCTGTTGTTGTTTTCACAAAATGCAATAACCTTCCTTTCTCTATTCCCTAGATAGTATGAAAATAAATAAAATAATGGCTGGGCTATTTCTAAAAAAGATACGAAGTATTTAAAATGCCACATCTGAGAGTCTCCCTCAAGGGGCTAGAGATGTCTGGGTTGACAGGCAGAACACCAGGAACCTGATGCCGGGCCTCTGAGGGTATCTAGTGAAGGGCGTCCTTTGGAAAAGTCTGTGAGCTCAGGTCCTGGGGTCTGCCAGAAGGCCAGTGAAGAAGGTCTTCAGAACAGCATCTTAGAATTCACTGTCCCTCAGAATGTTATACCAGCTGGAAAAAGGAGACATCCTCACCTCCAAATGGAGAGTGAAGACTTCAGAAGGGACAACAGGTTCCATGTTTCACGTGCCTGTGAGGAGCTCGAAGGTACCAGGTGTGAGGGCAACTTTAGATGTCACCTTGGTGGATGAGATTCTAGAGTATGTGATAGAGAAGAAAAGATGTTTTGTTCCAGGTCCAAAACCACTGTTCTCAATATCTCAGGTCTACATTTTTACTGGAATTGAGACAAACGGAAATCCAAGGAGAACTAGGTAGCAAGGCCCGGACTGTTCCAAAGCCAGGGGAGAAAAGGAAATTTAAGGCAGATGTTTTAAGAGCAAATTTTTGGACCTTGGGAAACAATGTAGACAGGAATTCCACCCTGATAAAATGCATGAGCAAAGAAAATCTCTGCATATTCTGATGTCCCTATAAACTGTGAGAATCAGGGCTGAATACAGTTAAGAGATTTGTGGAAAATTAGTCACATGACAGGATACCAGGGTAGTCACTGACACTACAACCCTTTATTGTTAATGACAGTGTTGCCCCTAATATGTGATCTCCCATCACCCAAATTCTCCTACCATAGAATCCAATCCATTCCCTTTATTTTGGGACCCCAAAATTCTGTGATGAGCAATTCAAATCACCAGTCTTGAATCCTCCCTGCCCTGTGATTTTTTTCCCTTTCCCACTGACCCTGGGATAACCCTATGGGTACAGCAACTGCTTGTCAATCCAAGGGAACCCCCTCATGTTTTCCTACACATACCTTTTTGTGACATCACTCACATCCTGGAAAGAAAAAAGACAGGTTAAATCCAGATGTAATGAGCCGTGTGCTCATCCACATCCCTCATCCATCTCCACTACCCCATAATACGACAGGAATAAAGACAGTCCCAATGTGGAGGCCACAAAGTAGAGATAAAAGTCATGGCAGACTGTCCCTGAGAACCCATGTGAAGATACCAGGAAATGACTCAACTGATTGATTAGTATCTTCATTTTGAAAACAGCCTATGTGTGTATTATACATGTGGATCATCTATTACTCGCTAGGCATTGAACCTGGCCCTAGAGAATCTCATATAAAAAAGTCATAACTTCCATCTTTGATAAGCTTACATTCTATTCTGGTGGCTGAAGATACAAGCTCATGGGCGAATGTGGTTCTTTCTCAAACCTTACCCCCTCTTCTACCTTGCTTTCACTGACTTCATTCAGTCCCTTGATTTCAACACACACACGTGAGTGATACCCAATCTGTACTTCTGCTCAGATCTCTCTCGCTAATGATCCAGATTAATATATACACCCCAAAATGAGCCACAGGCACCTCAAACTCAAGATGTTTAAAAAACCACTATTCTTATTCCTCAGCCATTCTGTCTCTTACCTTCCATCCTTCCGAATGCTACTAGCATCCACCTAGTTGCCGAATTTAAACAAAATGCTACATAAAAACTACCATCCTGACATCCCATCTTTGACCAAGCAAGTCCATTTCACACCCTTAGCTTCTTTTACCTGCTGTTCACCTTCATCACCACTGCTGCCTGTTTTATTTCAGTAGAATTCTCTGTAACTTCTGCTCTTTACATCTCAATGACCCTGAAGAAAAGGCCAAAGGTTTGATCTATGTATCACAGAAATAACTATTTCCTGGGCTGGCCCCGTGGCTCACTCGGGAGAGTGCAGCGCTGGTAGCCCCAAGGCCTTGGGTTTGGATCCTATATAGGGATGGCCGGTGCACTCACTGGGTGAGCATGGTGCAGACCGTGCTGAGGGTTGTGATCCCCTTACTGGTAAAAAAAAAAAAAAAAAAAAAAAAAAAAAAAAAAAAAAAAAAAAAAAAAAAAAAAAAAAAAAAAAAAAGAACTATTTTCTGTGCGTATTGGGGCTAATTTTGGTTGCATTTCACAGGAACAGAACTCAAACTGGTTTGGACATAGAAAGTGATAGACATGTTGGATGTGTCAATTTACACCAAACATCCAGGATTATATCAATCTTCAATCAAAGCTGTACTGAGGAACAAACAACAAAATCAGTGTGCCACTTCATGGCTATTTCTCTTACGCTGGCTTTATTCTAATTGTTCACATTTTGAAGCTTATATCTTGGCTATCAAAATTTAATGGGCAACAGGGGCCGGCCCGGTGGCGCACTGCGCTAGTGCACCGCTTGGGAAGTGCGGCAGCGCTCCCGCCGAGGGTTCGGATCCCACATACAGACCGGTTCCCGCTCACTGGCTGAGCGAGGCGCGGGGGCAACGCCGAGGGTTGCGGTCCCGTTGCCGGTCCCGGTCCGGTGCGGGGGCGACACTGAGGGTTGCGATCCGTTGCCGGACACAGAAAACAAAAAAAAAAAAAAAAAAAAAAAATTTAATGGGCAACAATGTCACACAGATATGGAAAAAAGAAGAAGGAATATATCTGCAATGGGAGAATTCTAGAGAACTGACCGGTAGTAACAATCAAGTTAACATGTCCTTTGGGTTGTCATACTAATGAGTGTGGGAATGCCTGCACTGGAAACATAAATGTATGATTCCATACCAGTCAGCCGCTCTCCCCCCTCTCCCCCCAGAATTGATGATTCCTTTGCATTTAAGGAAAAATGAGTCTGTGGAGGAGCTAGAATGAAGGGGTAATGAAGGAAGTATTAGGATCACCTAACATCAAAGAGGAGGACAAAAATGCAAGAAGAATAAAATAAAGACATGAAATAGGAAACAGTGAATGAGGAAAAGCTCTAATAGTTGGAAAGTAACTCCCCCATGACCCTAATCCTAGGACCCCCAAATAAATAAATAATTATTCCGCCAGCAAAAACAGGGCAAGAGGAAAATAAGGAGGCAAACAAAAAATAAGGGACAGCCTGAAGGTTCCAGAACATCACAAGGTACATCATTCCTCAACTTCATATTCACACTATTCATTCTGTATAAAAAACAGCTGCTCATGTTTCAACCTCAGTCCAAGATCCTCCATCAAATCTCTCTAGGCTTGATGCCTTGGACCCTGCCAACCTACATGCGCACAGACCAGAGCCCAGCCCCCAGTGACCTGTTCAAGTATCTATTCCTGGAACATGTTACATGATTCTGCCATAGAGAAGAGAGTGGAAGCAAAGGGCTGGTAAGTACATAAACAAACTCTAAGAACTTAAGTTTGAAGAGAAAGCCCATCTCACAATACAGCTGGCAACTGAGGAAAAGGACTCAATTCGGCAAAGCTAACACAATTAGCAATTTACTTTGGAACCTTTAACAGACTCTTCTGCTTACCACCATCTAGAATCCACTGCAGGAATGCCAAAAAGGAAAATTTCATTTAAAAGAAGTAAAACAGGACAAACTGGAAATGTTTAAGTGTCTGAAACGCTGCATTAAAATGCAAATCAGACTGATAACTAGATATTCCAGAGTGTAAAGAAACTTTAATTTTGGAATATTCATCTTGACTACAGACATACAAATTTAAAAGATGCGTAGCTTTGTTCCCAGATGGGAACAAAGTTTTTCTTTAAATCTGTAATCCTATGAGTTGGCTTCATTGACTGCATTTTTTAAAGGTTGCTCACCAGTTAACTAAGCCCTGGATTCATGGATTTTCTGAAGACTAGAAAATGATAATATTTTTCTGTTGAAGAACCAAGTGGAAACTTTACAGCAACAAATTTCATGTTTCTTTTGGAGATTTCTGAGAAAGAGAAAGTATTTATAAAATCTCCAAAGATCTAAATAATTTTGCAAATAAATTAAGAGATTACAGTGTTCACAATCTGAATACCAAAGGAGGTTGCAGCTTACAAAAGGACTTCCACTCAGTAAACTGGATGTGCCTTTATGATGGTAAGCATTAACAGCTCCCAGTGCTCCAATGACTCCTGTAAGCGCACTTTGTATGGGTGCATGTTCAGCATGATGTTTGTGCCTGAGTTAATATCCACTTGTGTTGCCGTATACATTTTCATCTGCACCCTCAGAGTGCAAAGTGAACCTACGATGTACATGATTAACTTGGGAATGCCAGACTTGCTGTTTGTTTTTACTTTACTCTTCAGGAATTTTTACTTTGTGACACAGAATTGGCTGTTTGGAGATTTACTTTGTAAGATTTCTATGATGCTATTTTATACCAACAGGTATGGAAGTATTCTGTTCTTAACCTGTATTAGTGTAGATCTATTTCTGGCAAAATCGTCTACCCATTTAAGTCAAAGACGCAAAGACCCAATTAAGTCAAAGAACCAAAAGAAATGTAAAGATTGTTTGTATTCAGTACCACAGGAAGTAGGCCAGCAGGTTTTTTTCAGTCTACTCACTCTCAGGGTATCAGACCTCAGAAGCCTACTTTGAAAATTTTCCAGAAGCCATGTGAAAACATCTCTCTCAAAAGTTGTAATTTTCATCAAAATAGTGGGATTTTTTTATTCCTCTAATTTTAAGTGTAACTTGTTCTACCATGGTGCTAAGAACTTTAAATAAATCTGTTACATTAAGTAAAAGCAAAATGATTTTGTACATTTGGTCATATTCTGTTTCGGTTTTGTGCCTTACAATATCAATCTTATTTTATATTCTCTATGGAGAACATGAACATTTGTGAATTGCTCAGTAGTGGGAGCAGTAAGGACGACATTCCCAAGTACTCTCTGCAGTGTTTTTGCAAACTGCTGTTTTGAATCTCTAGTTTATTTATTACTTTATGTTGGACACAATTCAGAAATCAATAAAAATCAAAAACAAATTGGTCTCTTAGGAGAAATGACTCCAGATTCTCTGAAATTCAAGGCACAGAGAACTTTATTTAGGGGCCGACCCGTGGCTCACTTGGGAGAATGCAGTGCTGATAACACCAAGGCCAAGGGTTCAGATCCCTATATAGGGATGGCCGGTTAGCTCACTTGGGAGAGCGTGGTGCTGACAACACCAAGTCAGGGGTTAAGATCCCCTTACCGGCCATCTTTAAAAACAGACAAACAAAAAAAGAACTTTATTCAATACAACCTGCAAATCATAAAAAATAAGATATTAAAAAAAAAAAAGAGGACTTGAGTTTGGCATTCATTGGCTTGTGACTAAGCTGGGTAAAAGCACCAAACTTTCAACCCAGCATCAGAATCGGAGACAATGGGTACCTAATAAACAATGGTTTTCAACTGCAGAGAACAATGTCCTCCTTAGGGATATATGACAATGTCTGAAGAGGTTTGTGGTTGTCACACCTGCAACGGTGCTGCTGTTATATAGTGAGTTGACCTTCTATTCAATCTTGTGTAGGAAATAAGACATAGAGTCTCTACTCTGGATCAGGAGGGCATTATCTAGGTTCATCCTCCAGGTAAATGGGAGGACTATGAAGAAATTAAATCAGAGCATGATGAAAAGTTAAAATCTCCTGACAAGAGTCCCATTCCTCCTCCATCCTGGACCCCCACCTGGTACTCCTGGGCAACCTCCTCCATGAGGAACGTGTGGTGACCACGGTGCTCCTGAGACCGTTCGCAGAGCCAGCAAATGAGCTTCCCATCCTCTTTACAGAAGAGCTGGAGTTTCTCTCCATGGTGTGCACAGAGAATCACATTCAGCTGCTTCCCTGGGCCCAACACCACCTCTCTGAGCCTCTCTACTATGTTGGCCAGATGCCGATTAGGCCGCAGATTCTCAGGCTGGTAGCTGGTCTGGCACACAGGACAGCTGCTTTCCCCTTCTTGGCCAATCACTGACTCCTCGCTGTTCTCTGTGATGCAGGCTTGGCAGAAGCTGTGGCCACAGTCTATGCTCAGGGGTTCTGTCAGGAGCTCCAGGCAGATGGGGCAGGTTACCTCATCTCGTAGGTCCACCAGTACTGCTGAAGTCATTACAGCTTCTCTCCTGGCTCCTGACTGCCCAGACCTGACTTCTGTGGTGCTTCCTCCTTGCATAATCCTAGACAGACAAGCCAAGAAAAAAGGGTCAGTGTAGGAATTGAGAGAAAATAGGGGATGCTGACTGCCCTATTCTGTCCTGGTTAAAGAGATCAGACACCAGGGTAACAAGAGCTTTTCATTTTAATTTCCAACATTTTCTTTACTCCAGCCCATCTGATACACCAATTTCCACCCTTTTTAGACCAATAATTATGATTATGATTTCCTTTTGGATGGAAAAACAAACAGAGGCTCTGGAGAAGCCTTGTGTTAACCATCATGTCAGACCTTTTCTCAGCCCACGAAAACACACTGCTTTCTCAGGATTTTTGCATGTGCTCTTCTTGTTGCAAGAGTGACCCCTCACCCTGATGTCTGCAGGACTCACTTCTTACAGGTTCCCTTTCCAGAAGGGGCTGCTCTCTCTTTTGTACTAAAGAATGGCCACCATACAATCACTCCCTACATACTTACGTGCTTTCTTTTTCTCCTTATCATCACTATACACACACAAACACACACACAAATGTATTATATATATATATATATATATATAAAATTGCCTGACTACTCCATCTAGAATGTAAGCTCCACGAGATCAAGGACCATTTTTGTCCACAGTTGCACCATCAGCAGCTAGCACAGTGCCCGACACACACGTCCAAAAGCTAGAACCTCCTCGCCCTCCACAGATGATCAAACCTTTCTCATGAGCTCTTTCACCTTTTTGCCATCACTCTGCCTATCCCAGAGCCTAGCACTGCACCTAACCTAGAAATGAGCAATTAACTTTATAATGGACTTAAAATTATAACTTACTGCTGAGCTTATAATTGGACTTGATGTTGGCATTAGAGTGTGGAAATACATGTGCTATCTTAAGAAATTGTACTGGTAAGCTGGTAAGAAATAATTGTGGTGGTATTATACTTATTTTAACTGAAGGTCTTCTCCATCATCTACACACACACACACACACACACACACACACACATTCATTTCAGGCAAAACCATATTTGGTATACACATCTCTTGAGGGAGAGTTTCTGCCTCATAAATGCAATGTAGTAATAGCCCAAAACTGGAAAATGGAAAATGGACAAACTGTGGCATATCCATACAATGACATATTACCAAACAATTAAATGAAACTGCTGATAGACACAAGATAAACTTCAAAGCATTTATACAAGGTAAAAAAAAAAAAAAAAGAAAAGAAAAAGCATGAAACATAAGTTTCTGTATAATTCCATTGATATGAAATCCTAGAAAAGGCAAAGCTATAATATTTGAAAGCATATCAGTGGAAGCCAGGGTCCAGGTGTGTGAGAAGGAGATTAACTGCAAAGGAGTATAAGGAAATTTGAAGGGTGATAGAAATGGCCTTTACATTCCATGATTGTGCTGGCAGTAAGTTACACAACTACACATATGTCAAAACTCACAAAATTGTATGCTTACAATTTATAACTTACTAGATATAAATTACACCCCAATATAGTTGACAAAAAAAAGAAATGCAATGACAAAAAGTGAATGTTTGGCTTCTGATCTTCTAAGCATAAATTAGAACTGTTGTCAAATATGGTGGCCACATACGGGTATTGAGCACTTGAAGTGTGGCTAATCAGAAATGAGACATTTTAAATATAAAATACACATCGGATTTTGAAGATTTAGTAAAAAAAAAAATCTAAATTATCTCAATGATTTTTATGTTGATTTTGTGTCCCAACAATAATATTATGCATGTATTGGGTTAAATAAAATGTATTCAAATTAATTTCTTCTGTTTCTTATTTTTTAATGAGGATACTAGAAAATGTAATATTACATATATGACCATATTCTATTTCGATTTCATTATATGTCTATATATTTTTTTCCATCTAATGTGCTACTTTAAACATTCACGACAGCAAAAGAGTCCTGAACAGAAAAGAGGATGAAAGAGTTGATGTCTCTTGTCCAAGGGCATAAGTTAGAGGCGGGGAAAAGAAAGGAACTGTGAAGGAGATGAGCACACAATTAATATAGGTTTGAGTGACACTTGCCCACACACCAGCAAGGCCTTGACTGCCTGCAGCAGCCCAGAAAGTGGGAGGCTGGCAGTCTCCAACTGAGGCTACGACTCAAGACCAGTGTGGACAGGCTGAAAAATGGCTGTGTGAGGAGTGCAGACCTAGAGAGCCTGAGGTCCCGGGGCTCTATGGATCAAATTAGCAGATGAAAGAGGCCAAATTCATGACCAGGTGGGAACAGTTAAATCACAGACATCTGCCTGAAAAAGGAGGTCACGTGGTCTGATAATAAGCAGTCCTGGCATCCACTAAAGCTCTTTATGTAAAATCTGTTTCATCCTGACTGATTCAGAATCTGCACTTTAATAAGATCTCCTGGTGATTCGTATGCACATTAAGGCTTCAGAAGTACTGCCTCTGATAAAGGCCCTTCTTTTCCAGGTGGATACAATTTAGGGTGCAAAACATCTAGTAAGGGGGAAGGGAGGGAGGGCCAGAGAATGGACGATATTTTGATCTGAAGCATCTATTAGAACGGAAGCTCACATAGGTATCAAAATAGCTTTCAGAATAAAAATCAGTGACTGCGCAGGGGAGACTGGGACTGGTCCAGGCTGGAACTCAGAATGAGAGTTAGGAACGAGAAGGACAGGGCTGCTCCCCAACTGAGAGCCCTAATGAAAGTGGAGTGAAATAGATGATAACTGCCTCTTGGGCTTTGGGAATAACATTATTTTTGACCTTTGTGTAGGATTATCTCCCACTATAACCTACTATCTGGGATTGATTATTTAACAGATAGCACTTGATAAATATTCAAATTGGAACATAATCAGTTTCAGATATTTTTTAAAACCTGGCTTCAATAATCTCTATTCCCTGAATTTCAGAAACTTACAATTGAATAATTTTCCAAATTCTTAAAATATTGCTCTGCACAGGTTTTCTTCTCCCTGAGTGTTAAATAATCCATTGAGTTTTTTTAAGGCTAAAATATAAAATTCTTTTTTTTCTGCATGTGTTATTCCACTTGTAATTCTGTTAAGGTCAGTAGGGGCCCCAACCCCTACTGACCTTAACAATTCCTAATTTTAAAAACTCGTATTTTGACTTGTTTAAGTTTAACAAATAGTCATATTCTTCATCATAATGCATTTTAACATTTTACAGCCTAGTACATTTTTCAAAAATTGTTTCGATTGTGCATTTTTAAAGGTAGGCATGGAATCTGTCAATAATAATAACTTAATAATTTGAGTATTTACCGTAAGTCAGGCATTCTCCTATGAGTCTAAACCTCTGCTTCAATCCTCGCCCAAACTCTAGGATATACACGTTACTCTGCCCACTTTAGGAAGTAACTGAAGCTCAAAGAGGAAGCGTTCACAGGCCCAGGGCGCACAGCCAGTGTCTGTGTTGGAGACAGGACTTGAACACATGCGGTCTGGCTGCAGCTTTTAACTACACATTTCTCTCACCTGATGATTGATTGATTAAATATGTGTCCCTAACCTCAGAGCGCTCACTTCAAGTGAGGAGGAAAAGAAAGATAAAATTAAAAGATAAAGACAGGCGCATCAAGGAAGAGAGAAGCCAGAGCAGCTCCAGATGGGAGCTCCAGGTGGTCAAGGTCCTTCGGAGCAACCCAAGGAGTCAAACTAATTCTGAGGAAAAGAAGGTGCTCACTTCTCACTTCGGTCTTTCATCCAAATTCAACCGCGCACGGCTCTGCTTCGTTCCGAAAACGGCAGGGCTCCCTCCTGGGCCAGCCGCTGGCCTTTGGACAGACCCCGCGGGTCAGGCCCCGTGCGGCCGGATCATCTCCCGACTCCGCCGGGGAGGAGTCGGGCCCGGGGTGGGATGAAGGCCGCTCACTTCCTGCAGCGGCAGGGCTGGCGGTGGGGGAGGGGGCCGCCTCCGCATCCACGAGGGCTTGCAGAGCTGCCGCTGCTCCTTTCGCTTCCAGAATCAGGCTGCAACTCTCAGTGCCCTTTACTCAGCCTATTCCCAGTTGCAGAGGCGCCTCTTCTGTGCTGCTTTCTCAAACTTGAGTCAGCTCAAAACCGCAGAGGTCTCCTTCATTCTTCCACCCGTGAAACCCCAGTCCAGCCTGTAGGGCGGGTCAAACTCTCTGTTCTAGTGGGGACAGCGGTGACTGGCCAGAAAGTGGGTTTGTTCACTAACCTGGAATCTGTGGCCTGCATCAGAGCCAAAAAGTTGCGGCTGCCGCCTCCTCCACCACCAAAGCCAAAGACCCAGGGGAAACGGGGTGGAGCCAGGGCAGGAGGCGGTGCTGCTGAGGGGCCTATGTGTCCAGCACCGCGTGAGATCCTGCAGACTCCGTAGGTGTGGTCACCAGGGCCCCATCAGGCCGTAAGGGACACTAAGGTATTTTTTGAAGGCGGAAGTAAAAAGCTGTTCTTCTCTCCTGATGGACAGCAAATTCTGAGGCCTTTGAGAACACCTGAAGTCCAGATTGCAAATTGTCTTAGGTTTACTTTAGCCTTCCAACCTCATATCAGAATTTGAAACACTGATAATACACCTATACTCCGTATTAATATATTATGTCTAAATAAATAAAAATATCTGCAGTTACACAGATGAATAAAAGACCACTTGGCATGTTTTGCAAAAAGATCATTAAAATTTATCAGTTTAAGATTACGTATATATAAATGTATATATACCTGTGGGTGTCTGTCTGTGATTTTAACCTATATTACTGAGAGACCATAAATCTTTATTTTTAAGTCCTTCTGCATACATGCAAAGCTTACAGACCCTAGGAACAGTAACTATAGGGATTCAATGACACAACTCTGAGAAGAAATAGAATGCCAAACTTCCTGCCTAAGGAGACTGACTAGATGAGTGTCACCTGGTCTTAGAAGGTGGGTTTGGGGAGGGAATATGAAGGAGAAACTGGGGTGTTTAGATGGAAGTAAGGACAGAAGGTCAGGCAACATGGAGAGAATCGGGCTAAGTATTAAG